TGCATACTTTGATGAAATATAACAATTTCTGGTACGTTTCTTGAAAGCATACATCGTTATATAAGACCACCGAAATTATTCAAAATCAAAACCATTATTCTAACATTATTCCAAACCGGTCACTCGCCACGCCCCTCCCACGCCCACACACCGAGCCCAACGCCCCCACACCGCAGACAGCCTCCGTCCTCACCTTAGTGGTCACGAAGAGGTCCTCTCTGGCGACCCTTCCCTGCGAGAGCCACCTGCTGAGGACGCCCCCGATGGCCGCCTCGTTCTTGTAGAGGGCGGCTGTGTCGATGTGCCTGTAGCCGGTCTCGAGTGCCACCTGGAGGGCCTCCTCCTCGATCTGGAGGCAAGGCACTCGGGGGGTAAGGACAGGGGGTGGATGTAGGGTGTGTGTGTGTGTGACTTCCAGTTAGAGCTCTGTTGTTTATTTAATATATTTTGTTATTTATTCCTTTTATTTTGTTGTTTATTCCATTCTACTTCAGCGTCGTTTGAGCTTTCTGTGACTGCGTTTAACAGTGAGGCGAATCAGGTTGGTATAATAGCTTTTTTTCGATGTGGAAATAAAATGAATTTGGATTGACAATGGAAAACTCATTAACAATAACAATTCATCCTACACCATACCTTCAAGGAGCGCTAACCGCTCGGGACATTTTACCACAATTTCATAAAACACCGAAGGCTGACACTATTATAAACCATTCGAGACCATTACAATAACTCTCCGCACACGAGGACTGATATGATTAGATAAACCTATGGGAGTCGTCATGCTGTGAGGTCAAAGCAAGGTATGTATAACCTGATATGTTATATGTACCCTGAGTCAAAGGGATGTAAGAGTACAGTGTGAATATAGTGTGTAAAGTCGACAGGATCTATTATTTTATCAGTGTCACAGATTGAATGATGAATAATTCTGGATTGCGTAACGGGAATCCCTGATAAATATCCTGTAAATGTGTACATAAATACATAATTGTATTGTTATAAACCCCCTTTGGTTATTTTTCTTATACCTTCCCTTTCATCACCTTTATATAAATGTTACATATATGTTAACTTTCAATCATCCATATATGTTAACTTTAAAGCAATTACCCTTTAATATACTATAATTTACTAACTGTTTTTAAAGCTAAAATCTCAAAGCTGACATAATGAACATAAATTGCTGAGCAAGCCTTTACTTTCGATGTCATGGCGAGGCAAACGTCAAGGTCGAGAGCAAACGTTTTCGTCAAAACGTTTCCCTGCAGTCATTGGGAATACAAGGCAAGAAATTACACGAATCGTCGGTAAATAACGAAAGAAAGATAGAAAGAAAATATATGAAATCAGGATGTGCGTATAATAACTCTGTATATACCTATCTACCCATATATTGATCGGTTCTAGAAAAAAACGCTATACCTATCTGTATACCAATATTTATATCGATATACCTTCATATCCATCTATACACCAATATGTATATATATATAATATATATATATATATATATATATATATATATATATATATATATATATATACATATATATATATATATATATATATATATATATATATATATATATATATATATATATATATATATATATAATCATAATCTCATAAACATAGCTAGAGAACTCCCAGTTGCTAGTCTTACGTCCCAGGTTCCCAGGCCCACCATGGGCATTTCTCGCCCGTTGAAGAGCTTGACTTTGGTGACCTGCGCCATCGTGCCTTCCTCTCGGTGCCACGGGGAGAGACGGACTGGCAGCATCATCCAAGGACGCGGCCAAGTGTCTGGGTAGCAACTGGCGCGCTGTGAAGATGCTTTTTATTCTTTTCCGTTTCCTGATGCTGACTTTTGGTGATGGATTATTTGCATCGATTGTATACATAGGTCGAACTCTGTGCTAAAAATATTATTGTTATCGTTTTTGTTGCATTTTCAAATAGGTGTTGAATTGTAAAATGGGAAGGAAATACTGTTGTTGGCAATACTTTAGACGACACTTGACCTAGAAGTTGAAATGAGATAAATTACTTGCAACGACAATAAGAACGTTGGAATTTTTGTTCGTTAACGTTAGAATATTATGCAAAATAGTTTGTTGGATTCTATATCATGTTGATAATTAATTTCACTAGTTTAGAGTCAGGTGGTTAGAATTCTAATCTGCTCCTCGAATGTTATAGTTTAGTTCAGTTCAGCGAAATTTACATGTTTTCCATCACTCTTACGGTACGCCTAATTTAAAAAATTAGACTGACGATCCTGACAATGTTTCGCTCAGTCTCTCTCAGCTCTTTAGGGATGACTCAGCGGATCGTCATGAGCGAACGTTTAAGGATAAGCCAGACATGCGAGGCTGAGCGAACGTTCCCCGCGAGACCAGCTATCGTCGAACCTTCCGTGTAGCGAGAAACAGACAAGTACTTCCGACAGTGGAGGAAGAGCAACAAAGGGGTATTTTGGGGCAAGACTGGTACCCTCTTGGCCATCCCTGTCTCAAGATGGCCAAGACTCACCATCTCGAGATTGTCCCAGAGATCAACAGCGACTCATAACTTCGAGGCTTTCATAAAACTAGCTGAGGGGAGGTTCTCGCTTTGCCTCTCTGTGGAACCCTAGCTCGGACGGAGGAGCATGTTCTTCACGCTGACTCAAGGCCTTTGGGGCATGTCTGGTGGTAAAGTCTGCCTTCTGGGTGACATGAATTACTGAGCTTTTTATGTTAAGTTAGATGCATTATTCTAAGGAAGTTCCCCAGCAGCGTACTCCTACTAATGGTAATCATTCACAAGGTTGAGAGAGCGAGCGAGCGAGCGAGCGAGAGAGAGAGAGAGAGAGAGAGAGAGAGAGAGAGAGAGAGAGAGAGAGAGAGAGAGAGAGAGAGAGAGAGAGAGAGAGAGAGAGAGAGAGAGAGAGAGAGAGAGAGAGAGAGAGAGAAGAGAGAGAGAGAAGAGAGAGAGAGAGAGAGAGAGAGAGAGAGAGAGAGAGAGAGAGAGAGAGAGAGAGAGAGAGAGAGAGAGAGAGAGAGAGAGAGAGAGAGAGAGAGAGAGAGAGAGAGAGAGATGAGAGAGAGAGAGAGCGATAGAAGAAGAAGTAGTAGAAGCAGAAGAAGAAGAAGAAGAAGAGAGAGAGAAGAAGAAGAAGAGGATGATGAAGAAGAGAAGAAGAAGAGAGAGAGAGAGAGAGAGAGAGATAGAGAGAGAGAAGAGAGAAGAGAGAAAAGAGAAAAGAGAAAAAGAGAATAGAAGAAGAGAAGAAAGAAGAGAGAGAGAACGTCATAAGTTCACAAGGTATAGAATTGCAGGACAGACCACACATCCTGTCAGCCTCAGCATGCGTGTGTGTGACCTTGGATGCGAGAGACAGAAGGGTGAAATACACATAAGATAAAGCAGATAAACTGATAAGAAGATAAGAAAGAGTTGAGGAGATGTGCGTAAACAGATGGGCACGGGTGGATTGATAAGATTACATAGATGTTTGTGATAATAACAATAATGATTAATAATACGATAATAATAATAATAATGATAATAATAATGATAATAATAATTGATGATAATATGATAATAAATAAATGATAATAATAATAATGATAATAATGATAATAATGATAATAATGATAATAATGAAAATAATGATAATAATGATAATAAATATAAATAATAATAATAAGATATTAAGTAATAATTATATAACAATAATGATATTAAAAATTATGATAATAAAAATAATAATGATAATAATAATGATAATAATAATGATAAGAATAATGATAAGAATAATGATAATAATAATGATAACAATAATGATAATATAATATGATAATAATGAAATAATAGTAATGATATTAAAGTAATAATGATAATACAATACTGAATAATGAAATAATATATAATGATAAGGATAATAATAATGACAATGATAACAATGATACCATAGTATTAATAATAATGATAATCATAATGATAATGGTGATAATAGAATAGTAATAACAATAATAACAATACTAATTATGATAATGGTGAAAGGTCTAAAGAAAATAATAGCATTAATTATATTAACACTGCTACTACTACTAATAAAGAAAATATTATTGACAATAATAAGGATAATGATAGTTTTAATGATCATGATAACGATAATGGTAATGGCAATGATAATGATAATGATAACATTGATGATGATGAAGATAATAATAATGATAATAATGATAATGATGATGATGATAATAATAAAAATAGCAATAACAATAGTCATAATAATAATAACGTCAACTACGATAATGTTAACAATACTAGTAATAATAGTAATGATTATATTATCAGTGACATTATTGCTAATGCTAACGAAAATAACAAAAACAATAATAATGATGACAATAATAATGATAATAATAATAATAATAATAGCAATAATGATAATAGCAAGTAACAATAAAAAGGGTTATACAAATGATATTAAAAATACACATAAACATATTCATAATAATACTAATGATGATGATGGTATCAATAATAATAATAATAATAATAATAATAATAATAATAATAATAATAATAATAATAATAATAATAATAATGATAATAATAATGACAACAACAATAACAATAATAATGATAGTATCAATAATAATAATGATGAGTACAATAATGATGACAATAATAATGGTAATAATGATTATAGTAATAACAATAATAACAACAACAATAATAATAGTGATGATAATGATGATAATAAGAATAATGATAAATATGATAATGATGATGATAATAATGATAATGATGATAATAATTTTAGTGGATATCATGGTTATGATCCTCAGGTGAGTTAGATGTGATCCCGTAGTTACAATAAAGGAAATTTAAAGAGACATCGCTGACTGACTATAAAGGCAACATAAAAAGAGCATCTATCTTATATATACTTTTTCGCGCAAATCATTCAAAACACAACCAATACACAAGACAACCCTCAATCCCTTATCCGTTGTTGTCGTGGGTGGCCTAGGACTGAAACCCAATGCGGGGATCTCCCCTATCTTGGTCCTCAGCCCCCGACTCAACTAATTTTGTATGTTTTCTCCCTCCTGCTCCTTCGTTTCCGTCCCTTTTTCAACCCTTTCTACTGTCTACTTCCTAAGGTGTAAGAGCCGTGCTGAAAGGATGAAAGGCTGACCTTGTGCCAGTCCTGAACGGCCTACGGGAACCATGGGCACGGTATTCCCCTGATTTAGTTGTCTAGTCCTTACCCCTCAAGAGGACCCTGAGGGGTGGACTGTTTATTTCCCCAACATAGTCAAGGCTTCCCATGGCCAGTGTTGAAGACGTAATACCCTTATTAGGGGCAATGAGGTTTGTCCCTTCATCAAGTAGCCCCACCAATTCAGACTCTACCGGCTCCCAGACCCCAGGCTCTCCTTTGACCAAGGCTCCGAACACTGAAACTACTACCCACTCCTCAATGCCTACTAGTGCATTACCATCTTAAGCCGAGACTCAATCTCCAGAAGACCTTCCTACCCTTCCAACTTCCTCAACTTCATCAACTCTACCCTCACAAACTTCATCAAGCACCCCATCCTCCCTTATTACTACCTTTCAGCCTTATTCTCCATCTCTCCGTAATACTACCCCCCTCAACAATACTCCCTCTTCCACACGCCCCCGTCCTTCTACCACTCACAACTCTACAACTATCTTAAATACTCTATTTAGCCCAGCTAAATGGGACCGATTTTTCGTGATCCCCCTACAGATCCTTACTCAGGGACACTATTCTCAGCAATTATTATCACCAGTATTATAAACATCAATACTATTATTATCATTATTGTTATTACTATTATCATCATTATTATTATCATTATCATTGCTATTGTTATTGTTATTTTATTTATTATTACTATTATTATAATCATCACTTTTATTGCCATCGTTATCATTTTCATTATCTTTATTATCATAATTATTTCTTTTTTATCATTGTTATCACTTTCATTATTACTAAGCGCTGGAAGCCGCCAGTCTAAAGGTTAATCCAGGTCGGCCCAGAGGCTGACCAGGGGCCGGATTTACTAACGTCTTACGATATCGTAAATGGTCTGTTTATATCGTAAAACAAGTTACTCTAGTTTCTCGCACGAGCGTATTTTAAACACTCCCGAGGTCGTAAACACATCTCCGTACGAGAGACATTTACGGGACCCTCCTCAGCTCATATCAGCTTATCAGATAATACCTTCAGGAGTGTGTTAAAATGTCACTTTGCCATGTGGAAATCAATTAATGTGCAAGAGCAACCATGAGGATGCATTAGTAACGGAAAAAACAATATGACTAATGTAAATAAGGATTGGCCTTTGCCATGCATAGAGGTGCGGAACACTTGATGTAAATACTCAGCAAGTTTATTTATCATGAATTAAAGGATCTCTAACACATCTTCAAGTACGAAATCTGAATGAAAATGCATAATTCCATCATTATGACTATTTTCCTCTATAGCAACAAAACATAATAAGTATTTGATAACAAATGTTACCAATATACAAACACACCTTTTAATAGCCTAATGTAAAATTACATTTAGCATTTTAGCTCTGGATCCATTTCTTTATGAATAATGATTAAATGAATGTTTTTACTGGATTGTAAAATTTTTATACATAAATATCTTATGAAAATATAACAAAATGCTGATTTTTTGAGAGACATAGATATGAATATATATATATATGTGTGATCTCTTTCCCTCTACATGTTGTCTATATATATATA